CAACCAAACGTGTTATTACTTCCTAACATGATATCCTCGAGAGGCAAACAGTGACGCGGTTAAGGGTGACAGCTCTGGAACAGGAATGGCCAAGCTGAAACCCCAGCGCCAGCCGTCACAACCTGAGGGATCCGGTACAGCTTACTCAGCCTTCTATTTCCTCATCTGAGGTGAGGATAAAATCAGTAAATGTCCCAGTGGACGGAAACCTCTACAAAATAAACCTTTCTTCCCTTAACTTTGCGTGTCAGGTATTTTGTCTCAGCAACTATGACAGCATTTAAAATCTCTCACAAACCACCTCTATCCACTTCATTCCTCAGCACACACTCTGCGTCCTGACACAGCCTATTTCACTCCGGCATTCACGTCTGGCCAGCCACAGCAGGCATTTGACAGTGCTTAGTGAGGCAACCACAAAGTGTACTGTTTACACTGCAACTTTTGAAAGTGAACCAGAACACTAAAACAATTTAAATTATATGATTTTTAAAAGCTTACTGATTAGCCAACCAGTGGCCAATAAGTTAGCTCTTTTATATCATCCTATTTTAAAAGTATTTTCAAAGATAAAATTATTCATTAGAAAATAAAATATATATTAAAGGAAAATTACATTTTATTTCATGTAATTTGTGTCCTAATTACTATCACTAAAACAAATCGTTTTATCTTCAATGTTTAATGTTTTTTTCAGTACTGGGATTGAACCCAGAGCTTCACACATGCTAGGCAAGCACTCTATTACTACCACTGAGCTACATCCCCAGCCTAATATTTAACTTTTAACTGAAAGTATGATGGCATTTAGAGTAATATCAGATGTTTCCCCTTTGACAGACTGAATTTCCAAAAATTTTACTTTGAACCTATTAATTGAGTAAATAAATTGAACTGTTATAAGAAATAAGTTAATGGGTTTCTACTTAGGGCATGTGATGTCCCAGACATAAAACTGGCAAATTCAACTGTTTATGGAGTACTACTAAAAGAGCTAGTACATTAACAGCTATGACCTCATCTTTCACATGAGAATAATCTGGTATTGACTAATCTCCTAAACTAACTTTGCTCATTTTCATTTGTTCTAGATAAAAAGTCAAGCATTAAAGAATGACATGAAAATTCACCTCCCACGCTGCATACTAAAGTGTTATTTCTGAACATGGCTTTCTTAAAACAAACAATGAAACACCTACTAGCTTTTAGTAAACGTTAATGTTCTTCAGCAGATGGGTCTTTTGGTTTTCATATTGTCAGTGATACTACTATGACTCCTGAGGTGGAAAGTAAATGCCAACTACACTGTCTATAATTGCACATTAATTCATTAGCCCTGTAGACAAATGTAAATTGAGTTTTTAATTCTCCGAAATTTTACTTTTCTTGTTTGTTTGATTTTTTGAGGTAACTGTTGCTAAAAGAAGTTTACATAAACTATAAAAAGCCACCAAGTGATATAGTATAAAAATAGCGGTAGATTTAGACGATACGAGAGACCAAGGCCCTTCCATAAAGGCAGACTATTCCTCATGTGCTTTGTCCTTAGCGGGGCCTCTCCACCTTCCTCTCCGTCCATCTAGCCTCTGAGCTGCCATGTTTCCACTAACCCTGCTAGCTGGTAGCCAAAGACCTTCACGTACCTCATGCGCACAAATGTCTGGTTTACCCCAAGGGCTTCATAGAGACATTGGTATTTCCGCCTTTACTAGCCAACACCTGAACCGTAACCACTTGAAGCATGCATGCTCAGCTAGTTACACCAGCAAGCACTGTGCACGCTGCCCTTGCAAGGGAAATGTGAGTTGAGTTGTATGTAGAAAAAGTTGAGGGATGGAGACCAGTTACTGTCATTCTTTAAACACATTATAAAGCAAGGACTCTGCTGCTGCAAGTCTAGATGAAGACCATGGCAGAAGATGAAAGAACGAAAAGGATGCCTATGAAATCCATCCTGTCTTCCTTCAATGTCACTACTGAGAACAGAAGTTCATTTTAAAATGAAAAATTCTGGGACAAACACTAAACTGGATGGGCTGCTAGGATACCAGGCATACGCTGCGACTGCCGCAGATGCTTAGTGAACTCTCGAATGCATGCCCTTCCTCAAGCTCATCCTGGAAGCCAGATCCCCTCCCGCACATGAATGCCATCCGCAGCATTCGTGCAACATCTGACTCCTGCCTCATCTCTAGTGCAAGCTTCCCTGGCCCCAGCAAGCCACAGCGACTGTGTACCTTCTGTACACTGCTACAACCCTTCTGCCTGAACAAGTTTTTAATACTGCCAGAAATATCACATAACCTTACAAAGGTGAGGGACCAAGTGATTGAGAAGGGTAATTAGGGAAAGTAAAATTTTCAAAAAGAGGGAAAAACGACAAAAGTAAAGGAAAAATGTGCTGGGTTGGGCTAGAAAAAAATGACAGGAAATCACATTTTCCTTTTTTCAGTACTATACATATTGGTTTGATAGCTAAGCAATTTATTTGATTTTTTTTTGCATAAAAGTGGGGGGCAATGGAAATAATAGCTACCTAAGAACCAGGATAAGCCTCTGTGAGTTTGTCTAAATCTTGTTATTAATACTAATTGTTTGGTTAGATCAGAAAAAGAGGTTGGAATTTTTAAAAATTCTGCTGTTCTATTTTCTTTTTATTGTAGGACTTAAAGGAGACAACATACCACAAAGGAGCACTCCTCCTTCGGAGATAGTTCAACTTGGATCGTAAGTTAAAGTAAGTATATAGTGTGCAACTTTGTGTCTTGTAGTAGATCTGTACTACAAACGCCTGCATATTTTGGCATAGCTAACAACAGGCTTGAATTGGATCCATATGACAGACTGCAAAATATCCTCACATAACATCTGTTTGTACTATGACTCTGCTTTGAGCAACTGTCATTTCTCTGTCTATCTAAGTAATTAGTGCTAAATTATATAATGAAGCCATCAAACCCTGTCAAGTCCTCTCTTGCAACTTTGCTCACATCTTCCTTCCTTCCTAGGGTCCCTCCCACACTGTTACCCTTCAAGACTAAAACTAGACCATTACTACATTCTCCTAACTCTGCCTACATCGAGTATCCTCCATGGCCAGTGCTGCCCAAACAGTACTCCTGAATTACTCCTTTGCACACACTGTTCCTTTATTTGAAACAAGGGCCCAAACAAAACTACCCTGCAGTGGTTACCCACCTGCCAGACAAAAAGCCAAATGGTTTAGCCTCCCGTTTAAGACCTTTTGTAACTTGAGTCCAGTCTAGCACTCCCATGCTCACTGCCCTATTCACCAACTTCTCTGCACAGTCAGTACACACCCACTCCTTTCTGCGTCTAGGGCTGTACGCAGGCTTTTCCCCTGCCGGCTGCCCTCAGTGCTGCCTTCTCTTACCCATTCAAGCACTACTTGATTTTCAAAGACAAATCCAGCCCTCTCTTTCATTGCCTATGAAAGGTAGAAATGCTCTTTTTTTTCACTTAGTATAAACTAGTGCTTTACAAAAACCCACTCAGCATTTCTTGACATGTCACACTATGTGCTAGTTTCATCTGCCTGTTTCACTAGGCTGTATACAAGTTATCCTGTCTCAAAATAAATGAAAATAAATAAATATAAATTTAAAATATTAAAACAAAACAAACACACCTCTCACACGTCTCATTTTTTCAATGTAAAAGACACTTCCCATGTCTTCCGAGTAAGGAAATGAGCACCCATGTTCAGAGCAGCACAACCCTCAATAAGCAATAGGGAAAAACAACCCAGGTGTGCACCAGGTGAGTGGGTAAACAAAATGCAGTGTGTATACACAACAAATATCACCCAGCCTTAAAAAAGAAGGAGGTTCTGATGCATACTATTGATTCCAACATGGATGAGCCTTGAAGACATTAAGTTAAGCAAAACAAACCAGTCACCAAAGGACAAATACCGTATGATTCTGCTTGTATGAGATATACAGAGCAGTGAAATTCATAGGCTGACAGTAAATGCTGGTCACCAGGGGCTGGGGGAAGGCAACAAGCATTGTTGTTTAATGGGCACTCAGTTTCAGTTTTACACAACAAAAAAATTCTGGACACTGGTTGCTCAACAATATGAATGTACTGAAATCAACATTACTGAATTCTACACTTAGAAGTGGTTAAGATGGCAAAGTATAGGCTATGCGGTTTTTAGCAAAATTTTAAAAAAAGAATGTCAGCTCTGGTGTTAAATCATCTACCTTCAAATACTGGCAGAATGCCAAAGAGATACTTGGCTCATAGTAAGTAAATATTAATAGCTAATTTTACACAAACATATTAACTAGAATTACACCAAGTCAGTCTGCATGTCTGTCAGGAGCTACATGTGCCTTTTGGATTGATGGAATGAGAAGGTAGTTAAAAGTGATTGTTTCTGATAATAAAAACATTTTTACTAACTGAAAAACCTTACATACAAAATAAGGTTAATCTTTCCCCCTCAAAATTAGGTTCACTCCTGGGGGATTTCTCAAGTTCCTTACATTACAGTCCCAGATCCTTTTTTGCATTCAGTTTACAAATCTTAAAAAAAAAAAAAAAAAAAAACTTTCAGCATTCAACTGTATTTGTGTGTATATAAACATAAACATTTTCCCTTAAACAATCAACAACCCATTCTATGCATGTGTCTATCTACAAACATCTTTCTTTCATTACTGACTTCAATAATTACTTGCAGAGTCCTACACTGACTGCAATTTTGATGCCTCATTGATTTCCTTCCTAACATACCTGCTCAAAATGGTGCCTGAGTTGAATAGCTGCAGCAGCACGAAGGAGAGATAAGAGAAAGAAATAAAACAGCAAATGTGCGCTTCTGGTGACAAGACGTAGAAGCGATTGTATTCTTAGCTCTCAAAGGCAAGCTCACCAAGCATTGGGATAAAAATGGGTTTCCATTCCGCAAAAATGAAATCCAAAGGAAAACACAAGCCCCGAGAGCAGGTAGATTTTATGAACTGTCTAACCTGCATAGGATTAATCTTCACTGAGCGTTCAAAGCACTCCACACATTCTTGAAACTCCTTGTTCTGAAGATGAAGGAGGGCTTTGGAGCGCTGGGCCCGGGCACTGCGGTGCTGGGACAACTCCCAGGCTTTGTCATAGCAGGAGTGATCTCGAAGGACATCTCCAAGCAAGCAGTATAAACCTGGTGTTTCTTTTTTCTCCAGCTCTTGCCTAAGAATTTCTTCTGCCTGGAAACAACAACAAAAAATAATAAAAGTGCTTAATTGTGACCAACTGCTGTTTTCTACCTCATATACATCTTATATCCCACCTGATCCAAATTTTTATTCTCAACATTTGTGATTACTTATTTCGTGTGGCTAGGACACAGGCTGCACTGAACACCCAACAGTGGTATAACTACAAGAGAGAAACAAAGAGGAAGAGATGAGTCTTGCTGTACTGGTCTTCTAGAATCCCCAAGGAAAGGACTGTAGGTAGACCCATGCAGCTCCCTGGTTCTCTGTTCTGGTTGTCGTCATTGTGACTGGTGCTTTTAATTCACCTCTACCAAATAGCAATGGAAAGGATATTTTTCTTTTCTTTAATTTTCTCTTCTTTTCTTTCTTTTTCTTTCCTTTTCTCTTTTTTTTATGCTTTGTTTAAGAAACCTGGGACTCCCAGGCTGAGAAATTTTTAAAAGGGGTAGGATACAATTTGATAAGCACTGCTAAAAGAACTATCTCTTAATCAAAGAACATCTCAGCCCACAGATAAAACTGATATCAGATACCCCATTCATGTCTGTTTGCACAGGGTCTCATTCTAAAGTTCAGGATGGCCTCAAACTCGTCGTGATTCTCCTGCCTCAGCCTCCTGAGTGCTGGGGTTACAGGTATGGACCACCATACTTGTCCCATTCACTTTACAAATTAAAAAGAGTACCCATTCACTTAACAGGTTTGGGTATTCTTGCTGGGTGTCCATAATTCAGAGCTACCTCATCATTCAAGCTACTCCTGTACTTGTTACTACTCATCCTTGACTTCCGTCCATGGCTGCCTCTCTGGTAAACTTCAACAGAGACCAAAAAGCATGTGTGGTTGCACACTTTGCAAGCTCACACACACAAGCACCTTCACATAAACAGCACGGTCACTGCCAGAAATACTAAGTTAGCCAAGAAAGTCACTCTTCATTAAGCTAGAATGAGATGTTAAAGTCCCTAGGGTAGGTAAACTGGCAATCTAAAAGTGTATGTTTGGCTTACTGTAGGTTGGACAGATCTTTGGTTTTTAAATCATACAGCTTCTGTGAAATCTTTTAAAAGAGGGATATGCTTCTAAAAGTGTCTGTCGACGTTGGCTCTTTTGCATTTGTGACACAGTATGGGTAATACTTCAGGCTGAGTCTGAAGATGGAGCCACATCTGATAAAACAGTTTCTATGGGAAAACAATTCAAATAACCACGAGTAGAAGAGGGCACTGACTATGAAAGAACAAGACTTAAGAATTTAAATAGGAACATTTGGGATGACTTGGACATTAGTAGCCCCAAATGCTCCTGAGCCTTCTACAGCAGCAGAGGCAGCCTCCTCCATCTGATAAGACAGATGCTATCTTGCTTGAAGACACTACGATGACTGCACCTTTCCATTGCTTGTTGCCCTCAGATATACAAATAATCTTTTAAAAAACACAAGATTTTGTTAATTTAGTGATGGAAACCTTGAGATCACATGGTGAAAGAGATTCTAAGGGTGCTAAGCCTCAAAGAAATTGGATCATAATTTAAATCAGGCTGAATTTAGATACTCATTGGACAGTTTTGATTCACGGTGCCTACTCAAGCAGTTGGAGACAAGTTCTAAAATTATCTGCTCCACTGCTAGACTAAAACCTGGACTCAAATATGTCCAAAACTAAACAAAGTTGAGATACCGGAAATTCCTTTACGTAATGTGGAGGAAGGAATCCAACAACTGAGAACAAAGAGGCTATTGTTAATTTATCATTTACAACCTCCTCAACTATCCCCTGCCCTACTCTGTTCTGTAGCAGGCCCCAGAGGACGTTCTCTTCACCATGGCTTTGAGAAATACACTGTGTATGAGAGAACCAGCAAACTGGAGAAGTGCTATAGGAGATGTCTGGTATAAGCTGGGGGAAGCCTGGTTATCTTCCTGTTCAAGTGGAGACAATTAGAACTCAGGATAGTAGAGAGTTACCTACAGCACTGAACCCCTGGGAGCAAGATAAGCATAGTTATTTGTAGTAAGCATACCCAGCGTAATAATTAGATTGGTTAGGCTAGCACAGATCTTAAGTATATGACTGACTATGAAACTTTAGGACCAAATCAGATGGGCAGCCAGCTAAGTTCAAACTAGATCTGTGTAACAATTTTTTTTAAAAAATCTTGGGTTTGGAAAGCAGGTGTCTGAGTCTCCATGCTACACTTCACAGGCTCAGAACTTCTTAAATTAAAAAAAAAAAAAAAAGTGAAGGCAATATTACTTAGGAAGGACCCTACAATAACACAAGTATGCAACATAACTTTTCTTCTTAGGTCTTTCCCCAAGTAACTGTAACCATTTACCAGCTATTTGCATCCTGAGGGAAAACACCTCTTTTAGTGTTAGTGGCTAGTTAATGCTAATCCTTTAGGAGCTAGAACACAACTGTGAGTGAGGCACTTTATAAGAGTCAGTCCATCCTGCAGTGGCCCTAGTCTGAACCCACCCAGTGGTTCTGTAGCTCCTACATACGCAGTCAGGTTAGATCCATCAAGCAGGCAGCAGCGTCCCCCTCATGAGTACAACGGCAGCACAAAGGCCACATGGAAGCCCCTGAAGCTTCCTCTCCCTGTTAAACGAATAAACGTAAAGCAACGCTGCATATCTATAAAAGCCACATAGACTTGTGTCACTAGCAAAACCCTGAAAGATATACTAGGAAGTATGTAAGTGTGTAGATATCTGGGTAGCTTCACTTAATTTAAACTGAGAAGACATATGGGTCCTAGAAAACATCATAGATTATTACAACTTATATAGGGGTGGCTCTAACTACAACTACTGCTCCAGATACGATCTCCTTCCTGTGGAGACAGACACTGGGAAGTAGGCAGTGATATCATAAATGTGCTTTTCTCTGTCCAATAACCAAAAAACACTAGATCCAGTGGGCTTTCACCAGTACAGAGAAAATGACACTTGTCTTATCTTGCTTCAGAATTACATGAATTTTATGCTATAATTTAATCTGCAAGGACCGTAACTGTCTCACCATCCCATGAGACCTCATCAGTCACTGATCTTGATGACATCATGCTAATAAAATTCAAGAAACCAAAATATAAAAATTGTGTGCCAATGTCAACCAAAAGCCAACTAGAAATGATCAGATGCTTGACACCTTACCTTGTTCTTAGAAAAGTGTTCAATATATAAAACCTAATTTGCCTCTAAGGAACTCTTCTATTAAATAAAACATGGTTTTTAAAATAAATGTTTAACCTTGTATATTCTACGCATGCTTCCTATTTAGACCTCTTGAGAAACATGTTTAAAGTTTCCCATATGAGAAATCTTCCTTAACTATATAACACAATCTACAAAATATCCGCTAGCAGTTCGCCACTTTCCAAAAAAAATAAACCCCTAAATTAAAGGGCTGACTCCTTGCATGCTCACAGGTACTGAATGATGCTATGTCAACTTGCTTAATGTGGAAACTATGTTTCCTAAAATCCCTTTCATTCTGTTTTCAAGTTATTTGGCTGGAGGGGAACTTGGGGAATTGAAAGGCAGAGCGAAGCAATCAACTCCACGGCAAAGGCACAGAGCCACCCTAAAATCCCAGCTCATCCTTTGTATGTGCCGCACTTCTCTTTCCAATTGCTAGCCCAGCTGATCAACAGCAACTCCAGGTCCAGTAAGACTTCTGCTGTGGACTTACAGGGCTATAGCTACCAAAATACGCAGTTTTCCAAAGACCACTCCACAAGCTTCCTTTCATCGTGTCCTTTCAATGGCTGCAAGCATTTGGCTGCTTGGTCTGTAAACCCTGACTTCCCCCCTGTGCCAGTGCTCCCAGTGGACTGGTAAATGACCCTGTCCCTTCCGCTGATTCCCTCTTCCACACCTTCACTTCTCCAGCTCTTCCCATATTTGTGTAAAATCTAACTCCCTTACTAAAGCCCTTATTCCCAAATACTCAGAGTGGGTTTGCTTCCATAAATAAAGCAATTCTCAGTAATACAAACTTTTTATTTTTTACCTTTTCAACTGCCTATGAATCCTTCCATTTGACAGTGACAGTGTCAAATCCTTCCATTTGACAGGGAGGGTAGTTTTTAACCCAATTTATTGTTAAATGCATTACCTCAGTCTCTCCAACAATCCCGAGTAGATACTAAAATACCTATTTTTAGGGTAAGGAAATAAAAGCTTAGATCCTTATTTTGGTCAGCCCCCAACTAAGAGATACTAGGTTAAAAAGCAAGTACTTGTCTCCCAGTTTAATACTATGTCACAAGTGGACATCATCAAAAATGGTATAAGAGAATATTCTCCCTGATAAAAACAACCAGAAAACGAGAAGAAAAAAAAAAAAATACGGAAGCAACTTATTGAAAACTGTGAAATCAACCAAATAAATGCTTCCTGTAACAATACAGGAAGCATTTATTTAAGAGAAATGGTTAAATCTTAATTAAAAACAGCAAGCTTTGTGTCATTTTAATTTGCACCACTCCTATTCCCTCGTCCCAAGCTCTGTAGTAGACTTAAAAACCAACAGCTCACAATCACGGCAGCCACCAGAGAGAGAAGAATGGGTTTGGAGCTACTTTAAAGCCTCATTCTCAGAAAACGGTCATCATATGCCCAGTCTGGTAATTCCCGACAAAAGCCCACTTGCAGGCTGTCTTTATCTAACCTAACTCAGCTTGTTCAGTGAAAGCCTTTGACCAAAACAATTAGACACAATTTCACAGCTGCCTGCGGTAGTAAATAACAGCATGACAGGAAATTAAAATGGAACACTAGGAAGAAACTATTTAACCAAAAAGAACACAATAATGAAATAAAAGACAATGAACAGCAAAATGACAGACATGTGCATGATCAGTAATTAATTGTAAAGGGATTTAATACCACAATTACTGTAGAGATTTACAGAAAGGATAGGAAAAACATGATCCAATGAAATATAATCTACAAGAGACATACTATAGATTCAGAC